GAGAATGTTTTTTAATTATTTATATCACAAAAATCTGTGTTTTATCTAGGATATTTTCTGAATATTCTTTGTAAAATGCAGATTTTTTTCCACAAAACATTAGGATTCTTTGTTATATTAAATTTGTTTGTTTAAGTAGGTGAAAATAGACATTTAGTTGAAAGCATTACACTAACATTTATATACTTGAAGCATAGGAGGTTATTCAACCCAATTCCCAGCAGTGGACCGAACATTAAACTTATGTCTCAAGGTTTCATGGTTTTTCCCACACTCTGGCTATTTAATTTCCCAGGTTATGTAGACAATCTTTGATAATTGAAGCAAGTACTGAGTTGAAATAACCTTGAGTTGAGCAAAAAAACCTCATTTGGCAGAGCTGGGCTTGGTAGTACAGTGAAATTTTAGTGTAATGTGCTCTTGTGGTAATTGAAAGGGGAAAGATGATTTGGGTATTTCTGCAAAGGAAAACAGGTGTTTACTTTGGCTCTGATCAGTTTTTTAGAATATAAGAGCAAAAAAATTTTTTAATCTAAATATCTTGATTAAGTCTCCTTAATGTAGTATAAGGTATATGAAGTTTCTTTTTTTACTTTGCTATGTGACTGGTTTAAAGGTAAGTTTGTTATATTACTGGTAGATCTTGCCAGGCTTCTCCCAACAGAGTAGAAGTGATTTGACCTTGTAACTTAACAATAGTACTACTTTTTTTCTACATTCCAGTTTTGAAAAGGATGGAACTGGAGATTGGTACAACTCCTGTCAGTATATTGGTAAAAATACAGAAGAGGCAGGAGTTTGGATGGTTGAATGGGATTCCCTTAGGATTTTACAGCTGATAAAGATGCCACTTCCTGTGTATGTCCCAAGAATCATTAATCCTCTTTTACTCTGTTGGGATGAGTCTTTTTTTGTTCCTATTCAGAGTGGTTACTAACTTAGTCTTCTCTCCTCTTGCTGTCATCTGCATTCGTGCTTCCCACCTGTTGTTGGCATGTCCTTTACCTTCTCTTTCCCTGCCACATCAACCTACACACTGACTCATCACTGGTTTTGAAGATGTGGAAGATGTCAAGTTTGTGATCAACTATGACTATCCAAACAGCTCAGAGGATTATGTGCACCGTATTGGCCGAACAGCCCGTAGCACCAACAAGGGCACTGCCTACACCTTCTTCACCCCAGGAAACCTAAAGCAGGCCAGAGAGTTGATCAAAGTGCTGGAAGAAGCTAACCAGGCTATCAATCCAAAACTGATGCAGCTGGTGGACCACAGAGGAGGCGGCGGAGGAGGGGGTAAGGGTAAGTCCTGGAGTTTTCCAGGTACTGCCAAGGTATCTTTTTGTGTTCATCGTGCCTTGTTTTGTAATTCCCGTGAAGGCTTAAAGTATGTTGCTTACTAATAAAGGACAGTGCTTAATAGTTTTTAATAATCTAAGTAAGGCAGTGTGAAGTGTGGGGGGCTGTCGTGATTGTCCTACTTGTGCAGCATAGTATTTCTCTAGGCTGTAATGTAAAGCTGACCTTTGCGTTTTGAAGAACATGGTGCGTGTTCAGAATTAAGCTGAATACGGTTGATTTTAATACCTTCAAAAGCCTCAGTGGTATGTTAGGCTTTCAGTTTTCCTTTTGGAGAAGTCAGTAATCTTACACTGTTTTGTGATAGTAGAATAGGCGTAGTTATTTGATCTGAAAATCGGACAGTTGCAAAATATATTAGGATCTGGGCTTCCTGACTCCCAGTTTGGTATTATTTTCCCCCAACGTATTGCATATTGAAGCTCTATATCAGAATTACCTAAGATGTTTTTAAAATACACATTTTTTTTTAAGTGGGTTTGGAATTGAGCTAGGAATCTGAACTTTTTTTCTAAAGCTTGTGAGATGATTCTGATGCATTAGGTCCACAAAGCAACATTTGAGAACCACTGTGCACTAGTAGAGAATCCCTTCATGATGGTATGGACTTAGCTGCTTGTCTTTTTTTTTTTTTTTTAACCTAAGGTAAGTGACCTAAACCTCTTTACCATCGTTCCTCCATTTTTAACATCATGTTTCTTGGTAATCCTCAAATAAAGGGCTAAAACGGTGAGAAGTTGAATATCCCTTAGTGTTTACCATTCTTTTGAGTATGTCC